CCCTACTATATATATATATATATATATATATATAGACACGCATTAATCCAGGGAGCATCTTAAACTAATGTACCGAACGCAACTTCTAAGTCAGCTCATTCGACAGCAACAGCGATTATTCACAGGATCTTTGTTCCCTGAAGAGGTCAATGACAAACTCCATAGTTTTGCGCAGCGACACGGCCTCAAGAGCAATGTTTGGGTTCCTCGAAAAGCATTTGAGGCTATCTTTAAGTTCTACGGGGTCTTCGTTTTGCCTTCTGCTGCTCTTTGTGATATAACTGGCATGGTCAACACTCCCTATCTTGAACTCGAGCAGACATTGGGAAGAGACCGTGTGGTAGTAAATTCTGATCACACTTCAAACCCAACTTTTATAGAGCATTTTTTCGAATACATTGTTCCCAACTCAGAGTCGGATGAGAATAGCACTTCTTATCGACTCCATGGAAATGTCAAACTACGTAATTGGTCTCGTAAAGGACATATCAGAGTTTCCGATTCAAATAAATATAAACAAAAAAAACATGGTCCGAAAGATTCTGGTGGCGTAAATTTATCGGTGCCATCACAAGGTGTTTCTTTAGCCTTTCAGCATCCTCTCAGGATCACTGGTCCTCCTATTTTAAACGGATTGGTTGTAAAGGCTCTCCTCAAGATTCAGTCTGAGAAGGGCTACCGGATGAATTACTGGATTGCCATTTTCGAGAATTTCAGGCAAAAAAAGTTCAAGAACGCCGAGGAACTTCCGTGGCCAGGCCGGTACAACCCTACTTGGTGTCACCTTTATAAGCCTCACACGCGCACCAATCAATCCTTTCCTCCATCCATTCGGATTCTGATGCTTCAGCGGGCGGTGGAGTACGGTTATATTTCTCGGCTGTGGGTGACCCTGCGGGAGGCCGAGGAGTTATACCAGACAGTTCTGCTGCCCGAACACGCCCATGACAGCCCTCCGATCTTCTGCAATGCCATCACGGGGGGTATCGGATTAATCCAGTTTTACTGCGCGGATCAATTCAAAGGTGGTGCTTTGTTCTTTTGTAATTATATGGAGACTAACCTGTGCGTCAACGGCGTATGGATGCCGCCGGATAAGTTAAGAGGCTTTCCACTACTAAAGCAACTATTGAGTCAAAGTGGATGTGCAGACGACTCCGATACGGATTCTTCGAAGTCACTTTCACCCACAAGTGCTTTGAATGGGGAGGTCTCTAAAACGAAATCCTTAGTGTCGAATTCTGAAAGACAGACGCAATTCCTAAAAGCTGTAGATCTGTACGAGAATATTTATCTCTTCATGTTTACATTGAATAAAATTGAACAGAAATTCCTGCATCACTGTGATATCCATACAAAGTTGCGCACGCAGTGCATCCTGAACGGCTTTCCAACCCCGCATTTCATCTGCTCGAAGAGTTTGTCGGACTATGAGCTCTCTCCAGGCTTCCAGGAGGTGGGGTTCCTTTACTCCTATAATCCGATATATCTCTGGGGTAATTTCACGTGGCTGCAGTGTGTGAGTTGGTTTAATATTGCTCAGCTGGCTGAGCCTTTGGTCGCACTCATGCTCATTTATAGGCACCCAAGACACTTCCTTACGGGCAAGCATTTAAATAAATTATTAGCAACCCAATGCGCCAGGCTTCAGGTGCTTCATCAGTATAAAAGTCATGAGTGGATAACGAAGTTTATCTTGTCTGAATTGGGCTGGAACGTGCAACGAGGAGCACCGTGTGCTTTTAATGTTCATTATATAAATGCCACCAGTGACTCTGAGTGTATAAACCGCATAACAGATAGGATTTTTTACAATTTTGATGAGGTTTCCATATCCCATAAAACTAAGGACTGGTTAATAAATTATCATCCAGTTAACAGTAAAGGTTGTCTATTTGTCACTCTACTTCAGTCATTTTTAAAACTGCGGGCATATGAACGGGGGTACCGTTCCACTGTGTGGGTTGTGATACAACCATTTCGCGGCTACCGTCTTAAGGACACTATAACCCCGGTGGTGGATGACAGGCGACCTCTAAGTAATGAGGTTTTTCTTAAGGCTCCAATGGTGGAGTATGGAGAATATCTCTTGGCTAATGAAGAAGACGCTGAGAGTTGCTCACCCGGGGAGTCGTTTGTGGCTCCTGAGAAGACATCAGCCCCATACGATAATGAGGATGATTCCTTTATCTTAAGCACTAGTAATCATAAGTCTGATACCGCCTTTTATCACAGTGTATCGTTCTCAAATGGTGATAAACCCTTGAACAAAAATGGTGAATGGATCTAAATTGACTGAAATTAAAGTGAACTATGAAAACGTATGAAATGTCTCATTCAAGGTGCTTATTAAATGGAGCGGATTACCGTTTTTTTTTCTATCATTCAATCTGCATTAAACTTACTATTAATATTATTTTATTTCATTTCATCATATATCAGAATAAGATTAAAAAGCTATATATATATACTCTTTGTCTGTTGAATCATTTCCATGATTACTTGTTTTGTTACTTTTTTTTCTCTGCTACTTCTTCTATACGCAGTTCATTAAATCCAGAAAGATGAACTCTGATGATAATTTCACATTTTTTTTGGTTATTTTAACTTTCCTATACAACGTTAGCACCACAGGTGCGCTTTGTATTCTTGTACCTATTTGTTTAACCAAGATGATTCTTGAGTGAAGTTGATGTATTGCGTCTTCTAGTGCTTCCTCCTTTTATCTCTAGTGTAGGTTCGGTTATTTTCAAAGATTTTGTCATACGCCTACGCATATTCATACTTATGAATTTCTATTATTTGTAGAGTTATAGACACTTACATACTTGCTTTTATCTATTTTTATAGACAAAAAATACAGGGGCCTGGAAAAAAAAGAAGCACATGCCTCCTAAGAGAAATAGCGTTGCGGGGAATCGAAAGCGAGGTCGCAGTCGTAGTCCTCGTCGGGAAAACGACAGCGAAGGGGTTCCTTCAAGTGAGGAGGAGGGTGAGGACTTGTACGATGAAAATTATATGCGAGACTATTTGGCACCCGACGAGGAGAGTGACCTGGGTGAGGACGACGTCGATGTCGATGACTTCATTGCCGATGACGACAGCTCGATCTCCGAACTCTCGTTAGCCGGCCGTCAGGCGGTGGACGCGCTAATCGAGCGGCGCCAACTCATGGAGCGACGCCTCGAAGAGGAGGAGAACCGGTTTAAAGCCGGCATCTTTGACGATCCCGACGAGGACGATTCCTTTCTCGGGTACGACGACGACTTGACGGGTCCGGACGAGGAGGAGGATGGTGGGGCCAAGGCCTCCGATGGCGATAGCCGCCATGAGGCAGGCCGTCGTGGGGACCTCAACACGGACGAGGGCGGGAACCCCGAGGACAAGATTTACCTCCGCGGTGATTTAGAGTCGTCGAGTTTTGACTGGCGCCATCCGCAAGGGGATCTCGTGGAGTGGCTTTCCCAGGAGCTTCCACGTCGTGTGGTAAAGAATCGAATTTATAATTTTTATATCAACTACGTCGAGAACGGTATGAGCGTCTATGAACTGCGTCTCAACGACATGACGCGTGAAAATGAGCAGAGCATTCAGCTCAGCTATGGTCATCTAAGTAAAGTCTACGACAGCGTCCTGGCGCTGTGGCTGGTGGATGCGCCAGACCTGATGATCGAGCTCTTCGATGAGGCCGCCAACTACTTTACCTTCAAGCAGTACCCCCACTATCGCAAGGTTCATTCGAATATTTTTGTGCGCATCTGCGATTTGCCGCTTTGCGATTCAATCCGCGATTTTCGCCAGATCCACATGAATGTTCTGGTTCGCGTTCAGGGTGTTGTGATTCGCCGCTCGCCGGTTTACCCGCAGATGCACACCGTCAAGTATGACTGCGTGCGCTGTAGTTATATCATCGGCCCCATTTATCAGCGCGGCGATAAGGAGCAGCGGGTGAGCATCTGCCCCAGCTGCCATAGCAAAGGGCCCTTTCGCGTGAATATGGTGCTCACCGAGTATCGTAATTACCAGACCATTGTTCTGCAGGAATCGCCTGGAAAGGTGCCGCCAGGGCGTCTGCCGCGCAGTCTGGAGGTGGTCCTCACAAACGATTTAATCGATCGCGCTAAGCCGGGCGAGGAGGTGGACGTCACGGGGATTTATCGCAATAGTTTTGACCCCCTGCTCAACAGCCGCCAGGGCTTTCCGGTCTTCACGACGGTACTCCACGCGAACAACGTGATTCGGCGCACTGTGGAGATCGGCACCTTTCGGGTCCCCGAAGATGAAAAGAATCGGATCGTAAAGCTTAGCCAGCACCCGAAGATTCGCCGCAAGCTGATTCGCTCGATCGCGCCCAGTATCCATGGCCGTGAGGACATCAAACTCGGGCTGCTTCTTGCGATGATGGGCGGGATCCCGAAGGACGTGGGAGGGGATCAATCGCATCGGATTCGTGGGGATATTAACGTTCTGATGGTTGGGGATCCGGGCTGTGCGAAGTCGCAGTTTTTGAAGTTTGTGGAAAAAACGGCGGATCGCAGCGTTTTCACGACCGGCCGCGGCTCGACCGCGGTGGGGCTCACCGCCTCGGTCCATAAAGACGGCGTCACCGGGGATTTTGTGTTGGAAGGGGGAGCCCTGGTGATTGCGGACCGCGGATGCTGCCTGATCGACGAATTTGACAAAATGTCAGACCAGGATCGCACCTCCATTCACGAAGCGATGGAGCAGCAGACCATATCAGTGGCAAAAGGTGGTATTATTACGACGCTGTCGGCTCGTTGTTGTATTATCGCCGCTGCGAATCCTATTGGTGGTCGCTACGACCCGTCGTCGTCCTTTGATACGAATGTCAACCTGACCACGCCGATTCTTTCTCGTTTTGACTTGCTTTTTGTGGTTCGCGACGAGGTGAATGTTGTGCAGGATGAGAAACTCGCGGCTTTTATTTGTAATTCTCATATCCGTAACCACCCGAGATCCCGAGAAGAGGACCGACGGCGGCGGCGAGAGCTTCACGAGGAACTTTCGCGGCAGCGCTACGCCATGGAGAAGGCCACGACGGATGAGGAGTACAATGCCTACATGGTTCGTGTGCAAGAACTGCGCCGTTCTATGGAAGTGCAAAACGAATTTGAGGACGAGGACCCAAACACCGATAAGCCTTTATCGCAAGCGCTTCTGAAAAAGTACATTTTGTACGCCAAGAGCTATTGCCATCCACGCATTTCGAATATCGACATCAACACCATTCCTCGCCTTTATACCGAACTACGTCAGGAGTCGAAGCATGGCGGTATTGCAATCACCGTACGCCATATGGAGTCGATCATCCGATTAAGCGAGGCCCACGCGCGATTGCATCTTCGGGAGTTTGTAATCCAAGAGGACGTCACGGCGGCGATATCTCTCTTTCTCCGGTGTTTTATTCAAACACAAAAGTATAGTATGCGGACTGGAATGGAGAACCGATTTCGTCGATACTTGGAGTCTGACTTCGAGCCCATCCCACTGATTCGTCACCGTATTAAGCTTTTAGTGCACGCTGTGAGGCAATTCGAGCTTAATGCCTCAGGTGGTATCGATCCAACCCGTGTGCAGATTGACGTAGCGGATTTAGCCCCATCCACACAAAACGTCTCAAAGGAGGCTTTGGAGGCGTACTTTGAGAGTGAGGAATTCAGAAAGGAATACAGCCTCATTAGGGACCCCAAAACCCAGGCTCCGTTGTCCATTGTGCATATATTCACTTAGCACATGTGTGAATCAGAAATGTATGGTTCATTGAAAAATGGGGAAGGGTGAGAAGCAAAGGGCATCTATAGAGCTGAATAAGTGTCTGTGCGTAGGGTAGGGAAGATTACATCTGATAATTAATTGCCCAATAACCGTTTCTCTTTGATTGATTCCGAAAAAAAAAGAAGTGAAAACTAAAGATAAACGAAATGCTAGCAGTCTTACCAAAGGAAGGAGGCTTTGCGTTCAGTGTTTCAACTCCTTTGTCATGATAGTTAAGCACCACACTTTATGGAGTTTAGAGGCTATCACACTGGTGTACTTCACACTCATTTTTTTCCCTTTTGCTCCTTTGAAAACCAAAGGTGTACATGATGGGACATTCGAATGTGCTTCTCTGATGATGGAGTACTTTAAGTGGCATATGATGTTAGTCTTCCTTCAGTTTATTTTGAGAGTTATTATAAGCATCTTTGACTATGATATATCCTGAAAGAACTGTAAGAGAGCGATATCCGGTCTTGGATAGGAATGCGTTTTCCACACAACTCTAATCAAGTGCAGTGGTACACAAAGACGGGTTCATGCATGAGTAAATTGATTGTAGAATGTTTTTATGTGCTCAACTTTTTCTTACGAGGACTTACGTATTTTCATACTTTTTTTTGGCGCTTTTCCTCAGTTGCTTGGTAACATTCTAGTCCAAATTAGATAAGGATAGAATAATAATAATAAGCAATAAAAAGACATACACTCATCGGTTGATTACTTTGCAAGATTCTGTCCTTCGTATATTAAGAATTTTGTTATTTAAAGTTTAACGTATATTTTTGATTTATCATTAGTTCAAAACAATCTCATGAACACAGTCTTTTTGAACAAGTCAGGGAAAGGTCGACGCAAACGTCATGCCTCCAATAAAAAGACTTTTCGTAATTTTTCCTCAAAAAAGTCTTTAGACAAGCGCAATAGCAGGAAAAAGCGCATTTCCTTCGATCCTCGAGGTAATCGAGTGCGCCTTGTTCCCACGCCCCCTAAGTCGGAATACAAGAATTACTGGTTCAGCGAATCCAGTTGCATTAATCGAAAGGGCCTCCAAATTGAAGTGGAGCCAAATATTACCATAGAATTAAATATACAATGTCGTATGCAATTGACATCGTTGGCCCAATCATCGACACTGTCAGATGTTCCTCATTCGAATTCACGGGGTTTTCTGGAGGTAAAGCAGTTGTTTCTGTCCCTCTTAGGGTCCGCAGTTGAGCAAAATTGGCATTGCGTTGGATCTGTATGTCCAGGAAGTCTAGAAAAGATAAATGTAGTATTGCCTGAAGGTTTCTATCATCTACGCTGTCTTGGAAGAAATCCTATTCAAGTCTTTGCTCAAGTGTGGGATGTAGAGCGGGAACTACGATAACCAGTCTTTTTATCTAGAATGCAAGTGCAAGGTTTTGGAACAGTGTAGTTCACGAGTGAGCGATCACCTGTACTCAATCTTAGAAATAAAAAAAGAACTCTTAGAATTTGTGTTTATTTTACAGTACTCGCCAAATAAGAAGGGTGCTCTTTTTCGAATAACTATAACAATAACCATGATAATAATAGTATTACCAGAAAGAAATGCTTTGGTGGAGTCTATCATTCGTTATTTCATCAATAGTGGCGTAGGAATGTTCATTCTTGATTACCCTTTCTGGCGTTATTTTTCAAGGTCTATTTGTGGCATCATACACATATAGATCACATACACACACACAAGTCCTCATGAATATTCATAAATTATGAAAATTTTAGCCAAGATTTCACTTTATTATGAAGGAATGCAGATGCTGGTTGCTACAATTGCTTATTTGTAGAATTTATTCTTCTATGACAAGGAATGACGGTTTACTTACTTTCCCCCAATAAGCAAAAAAGAGAGAGACGCTTTGATGGTGCCTAATTTTGCTGATATCTTGAGGAGTTTCGAAACCCTCTTCATGAGGTACGATAAATCTCAATAACACGAACCTATTATGGTCACTGGGGTCTTCTTTTTTTTGATTGGACCTTGCTCAGGAAGGTGTGTACTGCCTCTAGAGTGATTATACCTACGTTTTTCTTTTCTATGCCTTCACCAC